ATACCCAACAGATTTACTTTCACAAGCAGAGCATTATGGTTGGCCTTAATGCTCTGCTTGATATATAAATTAAATCTTATTAGAATGTGCTTTGGGTTTGTTTCAGATGTAATGGACATGGGGATGAAAAACAAAGATAAAGCAGAAAAGTGAGAGAAGGGTTACAATGTTCTTATGCCTGTGATAAAATGGTCTTGACTTTCACTCCCAGCTATGCAGACTATTTTTTTGCAATTTTTGAAGACCTTTGACCTAATTAAAGAGACTGAAGCCAAATAATTTACTAAACTTTCACTTTTCAGTTACATTTATTTTTGTTGTTGAGGCTATTTCACTGTAAATTATTTTTTTCCAGTTTAAAACGGATACATTTCTGTTTTAATTTAATGACTGGCTTATTTTAAGCTTGTTTTTATAATAATGAGTCGCAAACACCACAGCGCTGATCATAAACACATGAAAATTTATAATGTAGAGCGTAGTCAAAGCTCTAAGGTTGTTTTGCACGTTTTTGATTTAAGCACGTTCAGAATAAATTTATATAGTTTGCACACACACACACACACAAAAAAAAGCCTCTTTGTCTATAAAATATAAAGAACACCATTCCTTATTAGGGATTTTTACAGGTGGAAATTTTTCCATTTTTAATACCACACAGACTAAACAGAAATTTTTGCAATTTGACTTTTATCTGAGGTTTTTCTGATAGCTCAACAGTTTGCAACAGAACTTTTTTTTCCATCAGTCAAATGTATTACGATTAAAGGCCTAGCATTCCTTGAAAGAAAGCGTATTGCCTGCAGCTTTTCATGGCTGAGCTTTAAACGAAGATGTGTTGAAATGAACAAACCTGGAAATCACAGCAGGTGTAATTTCATGTTTGTAGATCTTGAATTTTTATTAGGACTAGAAGTATTAGGAATGATTGTCAGCTACTACCACACAGTTTTAGCTTAATATCTAGAAAATTGACTGTTATAGCTGTTTTTGTGTTCTCTAAGGTCAGTTGGCAGTGACAGCCATCTTCAATTGAATGGAAACCCAAAGCTAATCTGTTCATGTTCATCCAATAATTACTTTATAAGAGTTTGTTTAAAATCTGAAGATGTTTTACTTAAGGTTCAAAAGGGCTAAAACTTTATTTGTTTTTGACAGTGTGTGATAACATTTTCATGTCCAACAAAGTTCAGTCAGGTCATCTGCACGGCTTTATTTTATTTTTTAATTGTTGAAACATTTTGTCCTTCATCCAAAGGACTTCCTCAGACTGAAAAGCCACAACAAGCTCAGGCTCACAAGCAACACACTCGCATAGAGGGCCAACCAGTTTGCTGATGATGAGATGGTTTCTGGGGCCCAAAATCAGGGATTTTTTTTTTCTGGATCACTGAGCATGAACGTTGATGTTTTGAACCACTTTGGCTATGGCTTCCTCATAGTAGTCGATGGGGGAGAGGGCAGGCCCCAGAAACCATCTTATCACCAGCAAATTGGTCGGTCCACTATGTGGGTTTGCTGCTTGTGGGACTCAGTTTATTGCATCTCCTCAGACTGAAGAAACCCTTTGGATGAAAGCTGAAACGTCTCAACAAAACAAAAAAAGAAACCATCCAGATGACCTGTTAGATTTTTTTTATTTTTATTTTTTTACCTGGATTATTGAGCATGAACTTGAACATTTTCTTGTATTGTTCTAGTTTTCTCACTCGTTAAAACAGCTACTGAAATATGAGTTTAATACATCCAACTCATCCCTTTGTGGGAGTTTTTTTTCTTTCTCAAATGTTTTTGTTTCTATGAAGTTTATCCTCTGAGATTAATTTGTAAAGTATGCATCCTGGGATTAGCTATGAGCTGAATTCAAAGTCTAAAGTCCTCTGCCCATACAATACAGACTCATCCTCTCGTATAGAGAATTAATATTCACAGCTTTGTCTTCATTTGGCTTTTAAATAATAATTCTCCGCTCATCTCCCCAGAGGAGGCAGTCCTGTATCTATAAAGGAGTAGCTGATGTGAGGAGCAGCTCTGTGGATTAAGTTTGTGTGTTCCAGCTCCACAGAGGCAGGTGCTCTGTCACTCTAATCCACTCTGACAGCCTGATAGTGCTCCATTTCCTGCCACCACCCACTTTGTGCAGACCTCCACTCCAGTGCTAACTAAAACGGTGTTCTCAGTTGACATAATTGGGGCGAGGGATAATATTCTTCAGAAATGTAGTTGTGGGTTTTACAGAGTTGACATGGGTCGTTATGGAACGGAGCTGGAGTTGGACTCACTTTGCAAAGGTGTGCATTTTTTCCTCTCCACTTCACTCACAGCTGCAGCTCGTCCAGACGGCGCCTTAACGCTCCGGTGATGTGTTCAGTCGCTCTGGACGCAGCAGAAGGCAGGTGATATATATAATTTTTTTTTTGTTGTTGTGAGCAGACGCACACCTGCACTGCGCCTGCAATTTATAACGCAGCTACATCAGATTATTTGGAGCCGTAGGGGGATTTGGAGCTGACTGATGATCTTTTGCTCCAGGAATGATTGGCTGTTTGATGTTCACTTAGCTTCACTCATTTTATCCCTAAGCCTGTACCTCATTAGGTAATGTGTAATGCATCTGTTCTTCATTAAGAGGTGGCGTGAGATGCATTTAAATGTGGGGAAAAGATCCACTTGGAAAAGCTTTTTGTCAGCATATTGTTCTTCAGGAGCCTCCAATAGATCTTTGTAAGGCCTAATTTGAAATCTGGACATCATGAGACACTTTAAAACAGATTTATAATAATTCCAAGTTGTATAGTTTTTTGGTAATGGAAGTGTTAATAAGAAAACTTAGCAGACATCTAATCTCTTTCCCTACATGTAATCTTGTAATGGAAAGATTTTAACTCTCAGCAATTAGACAGATTAAATCTCACCTTTGAGACTAAACTTAAAGCCCATCGGCTTTGTAACAATCTTGATGCGTTTCGACCTGAACTCCAATACGGACACTCTTCCAGAACGACAACGACCAAGATAACAAATGACTAACGTATCATGGAGCCTTGCGATGCCACGACTTTGTGGACCAAATCCGTGTTCACGTTTCTCCTCATGTTTAGTTCTTATTTAATAATTAATGGAGGAATTTGTTGTGTGGGTTTGAACACTTGAACCTTGGTGAAGACCAGATAATATTTAGGTCTTGTGGCATAAAACGCTTGAATCTCTTGCCATGACTGAAGAAACTCAACCAAGACGAGCCTACAGTGAGAAGGCAGTAAGAGGTTTTGAGGTTGGAGTTGGCATCGGAATACAGGTGCTGGTCATAAAATTAGAAAATCATGAACAAGTAGATTTATTTCAGTAATTCCATTCAAAAAGTGAAACTTGTATAATATATTTATTCATTACACACATACTGATATATTTCAAATGTTTATTTCTATTGATGTTGGTGATTACAACAGACAACTAATGAAAACTCCAAATTCAGTATCTCAGAAAATTAAAATATTGTGAAAAGGTTCAATATTCAAGACACTTAGTGTCACACTCTAATCAGCTAATTAACTCAAAACAATTGCAAAAGTTTTTACATGATCGCTCAGTCTAGTTCTGTAGGCTAGACAATCATGGGTAAGACTGCTGACTTGGCAAATCTCTAAGACGACCATTGATACTTTGCACAAGGAGGGCAAGACACAAAAGGTCATTGCTAAAGAGGCTGGCTGTTCACAGAGCTCTGTGTCCAAGCACATTAATAGAGAGACGAAGGGAAGGAATAGATGTGATAGAAACAAGTGTACAAGCAATAGGGATGACTGCACCCTGGAGAGGATTGTGAAACAAAACCCATTCCAAAATGTGGGGGAGATTCACAAAGAGTGGACTGTAGCTGGAGTCAGTGCTTCAAGAACCACCATGCACAAACCTATGCAAAACATGGGTTTCAGCTGTCGCATGCCTTGTGTCAAGCCACTCTAGAACAAGAGACGGCGTCAAAAGCATCTTGAGACAAAAAGGACTCGACTGCTACTGAGTGGTCCAAAGTTATGTTCTCTGATGAAAGTAAATTTTACATTTCCTTTGGAAATCAAAGTTCCAGAGTCTGGAAGAAGAGAGGAGAGGCACAGAATCCACGTTGCTTGAGGTCCAGTGTCAAGTTTCCACAGTCAGTGATGGTTTGGGGTGTCCTATCATCTGCTAGTGTTGGTCAACTGTGTTTTCTGAGGTCCAAGGTCAACACAGATGTCTACCAGGAAGTTTTAGAGCACTTCATGCTTCCTGCTGCTGACCAACTTTATGGAGATGCAGATTTCATTTTCCAATAGGATTTGGCACCTGCACACAGTGCCAAAGCTACCAGTACCTGGTTTAAGGACCATGGCATACCTGTTTATAATTGGCCAGCAAACTCGCCTGACCTTAACCCCATAGAAAATCTGAAGAGGAAGAAGCGATGCGCCAGACCCAACAATTCAGAAGAGCTGAAGGCCACTATCAAAGCAACCTGGGCTTCAAAACACCTGAGCAGTGCCACAGACTGATCGACTCCATGCCACGCTGCATTGCTGCAGTAATCCAGGCAAAAGGAGCCCCAACTAAGTATTGAGTGCTGTACATGCTCATACGTTTCAGGTTCATAACCTGAATCCCTTACTCACTGCTCTTTGAATTGAGAATGCTCCTCGGATGAGGAGCGAAACGTCTTCTGTTACAAATAAAGTCCAGTTGTTTTTGTATTGAACGTTTTTTGAATTCATCATGTCCTGGATGACTGAGAATCTTCACCAGCATATTTCATGTTCATACTTTTCAGTTGGCCAACATGTCTAAAAATCTTTTTTTTTTAATTGGTCTTAAGTAATATTCTAATTTTATGACCAGCACCTGTATATTGTCTATTAAGTCGGGTCAGGATGGGATTTTGGAGTTGGCGTGTAAATGTTTCATCTGGGTCACATGGTCAGTGATCACAAGGACTTGCAGCTCATCCATTGTTCATGTATTCCTCACAGACTCAGTCACCCCCTTCGCCCTCAGCTAATGAACCAAAGTATGAGAAACGTTGGCTGGACGCCGTCTGCCTGCCCCTGTTGATGGCCAGAGTCTCCAGATACAAAGGCACAGATAAATTAAGGTAAGGCTAATCCAGCTGGATATAATTCACCTCTGAGGTGCATAGTTCACTGAGCAGAGCTGTTGGTTTGGCAAGCGCTTTTTATTTAAACGTAAAGATGTTTCCACTGATGTCTATTCAGACATAAACGGCTTCAAAAGTCACAGCGGCTGTGAGGCTCACGGGGTCCGATGTGTGAGAACGCTGGTCGAACTTATATATGTTTTCTCATTATGGTGCTCGTCCGTTTATTGATTTTTCTGCTGTAGTTCCACCGAAGCTTTTTCAATCGGCATTTTCCTAAATCACCAAGTTGTTCAACAAAATCAACCTGAGTCACTGCATTCGACACTATTCAACATTTTAGTTAAAACAACTTGCAGCTCTTAAGACTTAACTTATGTATTTTTCTAAAAAAAAAAAAAACAGACATTTGCTTCAGCATAAGAAACTATAAATCTGTGAACATAAAGGCTAAGTTTTAAAGTGTAAGCCAAAGCACTGATGCTCGTAAAATCTTACAGCAATCACTTTAAACAAACAAAATCTGCCTTTTAAAATTTGAAATAAGATTTTTTTTTTTACATTTGAGTCTAATGCTGAAGTCCGAGCACAAATCTCTTTGATGTGACAAGATGCATTATAAACAACCTGCATACTTAATGATGTAATTTTATTCTGCACGGTCAATTTAAGTCTATTAAACTTGTTTACAGGACTTAGTTTGGTTTTATCCAATTTAAAGTTTAAAGGACAAACATGTTGAGTGCGTTTAATGAATGGAAGAGGTATAATATGCATAATGTTTGTCGGCTAAATTTAATGACTGTTTTTTTTATTTTAATATTATAATTTCTTGAGTAGCCTAATTGTAGATTTATTGTCTTTGGTTAGAATAAATATTCATGTGCACGAACTACAAAGTCTGACTAAAACAATCTGCCAAGATATCTAAAAATTTAAAAAATAGATTTAAGAAGCCAAAGAGAACCGCCAAAACAGAACATTTCATTTCATATAATCTTTATTTTTTTAAAAGGTGCAAACGTAAACATTGAAGCACAAATTTTACAATTTGACAGGTTTCTTCTAGTAGTTTCAGGAAGTTGGACTTTGTAAAATGCCATTTACGTGATGTAATTTTTAATTGTTTAAACTTTTTTTTTTTTATGACAGAATTGTTCGACAAAAGCCCTATTCGCACGGTTTTAGTTTGACCTAGGGACCACATGGAATAAATATATTACTACCCAACGTCTGCTTTGTATGTGACGCATTCGCATGGGATAACCAGAGCCTGAGCTGAAATTTATGGACATCTTCCGGATAGGATGTTAACGTGCTGCGTATTGCATAACGATGACATCACTTCAGTCACGTCAGTCACAGTAGTCGCGTTCCATTCAGGCTACGGCTATAGCTCGGTGCTGTGTTACTGCTAGCGCTAGCCAGTTGTATGTTATGTGAGCCACCGTTTACATATTATTTTACTCCTTCTCTTCAGCCTTTTCTTTTTTTTGGCGATCGTTACGGGTCGATAGGCTTTTTGCTGGTCTGGGACACAAACGGTTATTTATGCACTCCAATGCAGCCGCCATTGCCAAAAGCAAATAAAAAATGTGCCCAGGAAACAATAACCGCTTAATTATGTATCAGAGCCGCCCATTTATGTCCAAATCACAGAGATGCCTATTCATATTGGATTAGTATTATTACAGAACCTCGGAGTTCAGCAAAATATAGTAGGCAACTTGTGGGGGAATTTTTACTTTACAAATTACTGACAGCTCATTCGCACAAGGTTAACACAGAAAATCTCCATAATTATTACAAATAGCATGTGGTCCCTAGGTAAAACTAATCCTGTGCAAATAGGGCTTTAGTCATTATGTCTGTAACTAACTTTAGAGTTTTCTAAACTTCCCTAAGTTTTACAAACTTTCTTTTATTCTCACAAACATTACACTTATAGTTTAAACACCAAAAACTTTGGTACCATTTGTTTTTAATCCATGGTGTCTGTCTCTAATAGAGTTCCAGTTTTCTTCCAGAGTTCTTAAAAACAAAGACATTTTCAACGTGTCATCTCTAATTTAATGCACTGCTGATAAAGAAACTTGCTTATTTTCACCACTAGAATTTTCTGCTATTTAGGAATTTTATGACACTTTAAACAAAACAGCATCTTGGAGTACTTTTAATTAGCTAAATAAAGGTGCTGTGTCTCATCATTGAAGAGGTGGGGATCACCATGGCAACCAGTTTTAAAGTGACTTGATCTTTATAATATTCAGCAGGTTCTGTTTCATCTTATTCCATCATGGCTGTCCTTTTACGTTCTGAAAAATGTCATCACTTTAATCCCAAATCTTTTAAGTCATGGTGAATTTAAAAAAAAACAAAAAAAAAAAAAAAAAACTGCAGAAATGTGTATTCATGGTAAAAACAAATGCCTAAAGAAGAAATGAAGGTTTAAAGGAAGATGTAGAGGCTCAGCCAAAAAGTCTTTTACATAAAAGATGAAACATTTGAACAAAGAATCCATTTAGATGACTTGACTCCACCTTGTTAGATCCCCTTATCTTGACTCTAATTGAATTCACATGAGGCGGGAATCACCATTTTGTTTAATCAAAATGTTTAAGGACTGTGGCTGCATTGTATTGGACATGCTCCGAGGAGATTAGGAGCTCAGTTGCTGAAAACCCTGATAACTGAACTGATTCAGAAATAGTTGAGTTCAGTCAATAGAGCCCTGGAGGCAAAGAGCACATCAATATCTGAGTTTACTCCACCAAACATGGCTGACATGGGTCTATTAGACTGCACAAACACAGATCTTTATCTGTGGTTGGAAAACTGGAGATGAGCAGAGAATCTGTCAGCATCTCTCAGGAAAAGTCAGATTTATGTACCATTGTTTAGAGTTTATTATAATTCTTTTTATTCTCCTAATCTGTGATTTGTGAATAAATAAGCTGCAGTAAAAAAAACAAAAAACAAAAAAAAACAAAAAAAACAACACCTTGTATTCATGGGGTTGGAGAAACCTTTGAAATTCAACAGATTTTAGTTTCATGATGAACATTTTTACACATTCATTTACACATGATGAATTAATTTATGTTATATATTTTATATGTGTGTTTTATTAGCATAATACAAATTTGAATCAAATATTTAAATTATTGGACCTTTCAACTACTTGTACGCTCGTCGACGTGTAATATAGTCTTCATTAACTCTCCCTTAGCTTCTGGTCTGCTTCAGATAATTTAACAAAACTTCAGACACACTTGCATCATTAATCTATGGAGAGTCATATACACTTTTCCTCAACCTTGCTTCAAGGGCAAGGTCACAAATCAAGGTCAAATGTTATACAAGGCTTTTGTTTGTCCAGGCCATTGCTATAGATGGCTGTACAATAGTCCCTCGCTACTTCACGTTTCATTTTTCTTGGGCTCTCTTTGTCGTAGTTTTTCAAAGTAACACACAATGGCTGGCTGACTGGATGAGCCGTACGATCAGCATGGAATTTGTATTTAAAATAAATTATTTTAAATGATTTGGCACTTGTGTGCAGCCCACAGCTGTGGGAGAAGCTTCCTTTTGCAGCTGATCAGCTGATCTCTGAGAAGTGGCTGAGAGTGCACCTGGAGGCAGAGAGCTGAAATCATGACATGCTGTGCTCTTTTAGAGCATTTAAAGTTTAGAAAC